TAGAAACTTGTGGTTTTCAATTTTGAATAGCCAAGATCTGTACTCATCTATCCACAAGCAAAAGTGACTTTTGAAAAAAATTCAAAGACCGAATTTTGAGCAGATCTTTGGAAACCTAATTTGGATCTCTAAGAACTGACATAGAAATAGGTCGATCTTTCTTCATAAATAGATAGTCCAAAGTTTCCTCTCCAAAATTAATGCTAAGCAAACTCTTCATTTTTTCCGGTTCAGGCGTGGCATCAGATTTCCTGAGAGTCCCAGGATCAATATTTCTTTAGGTGTGGCAATATCGAAAATAAATGGGAACATAGGTAATCGATCACGTTTCTATCGCTTTTCGTTAAAAAGTTATTAAGAAAATAACCAAGTGCACTATATTTTGGAACGGATAGTTATACGACGCCACACTTTGTTTCACTTAAAGACACACTAGAATTCTTCAAGTCACTCCTGCCTCACTTGAAAAGGATCAATCATCTGTCTGTTATACGCTGCTTTTTCAAGACGACCCGTAATAAATCTGGTTTTGAATTGTTGTTATTGTCTTCTTTTTTCTTAGCCTGATTTGTATAAGAATATATTGGAGATTGTTTTTTGAAAACTTCTATTTAATTTCTGTTCAACATTTATTCGGAAACATGTCAGATAGCAGTAACAATGATGATAATGATAACAAAGATTTATCCAATCTGAATGGTCAAGAATTCCGATTAATTGAAAAATCATTTTGTCTAAGTGTTAGAAAAATATTAGAACAGAAAAAAATGAAATGAGAAGGCATTAGCATTGATATAGTCGGCTAGAAATATACTATTATCGCAGAATTTTCATTGTATATAATGAATGTGTAGTAGATATGTACTAGGGTGTAGTGGATAATCCCTTGTAATGTAGTGTAGTGTTGGTTTTCCCCATTGACTTTATTTCATTTATTTAGAATTTAAAAACATAAATAAATTGCTATCCCAATTTTCGAAGACCCAAGCTGATTTTCTAATATCCCATCTTTTAATTTTTAAATTTGTTTAGTTTATAAAAATATTTTTTTTCTTGTAATGCGTACATATATTCAATCCAAACTAGATGTCGAAGTTTCGCTTTTAGTTCAATAGAGCTTCGCTAACCTTCTTACTGTCTCTAGACTATATTAAAAAAGAAAAAAATGCTTCCGTCTCCTACTACCAACGTCTTACCTAATCACCGAACAACAGAAGAAATGGATACTGATAAAGCATCAAATGTAATTATGTTAAGTAAAATAGCAGATATAATAATAGTATGGTTCGATGATAATACTGAAATAAAACTGCAGTAACAGCTAGAAAATTTACATGATCATATTCGTCTATGTTATACAATTGATCAATTAGCTGATTTGACAGGCAATATTGAAGATGATCATAAAATTATTTTAATTGTAAGTGGTCGATATTCTCGTCAGACATTAAAGTTGTTTCATAATAATAACAAAATTGATTCATTTTATATATTTTGTATGAATAATCGACTGTATGAAGATTTATTGTTAACAAATTCAAAATTAATAGGTATTTATACACAATATCATCAATTATTTTCTATATTAGAAAAAACAAATACGTTCATTATTAAGACATTTATCAATATTTAGTTTAATTAATAATAGTAGTAAATCTTTTCGAGATTTACACGAAGATTTGTTGGAATATTTGTATTTAAAATTACTTCGTGATTTATTAATGAGTATGGATACACAAACAGAAGAATCAAAACAGGAAATGATTAATTATTGTCGTTCATATTATCATTATAACTCGACATGTTTAAAACAAATTGATAAATTTGAAGAAAATTACAAATCATCTGATGCCATTCATTGGTTTACAAAAGATTGTTTTCTATTTCGATTTGTTAACAAAGCATTTAGAACTGAAGATGTTGAATCATTATTTAAACTAAGATACTTTCTTGTTGATCTTTGCAAAAATT